AACCCCCTAAATAATTTCATAACAGTCTGTTTTATTAGAACTGTTCGTCTTATATTTTTTAATAGTTAAATTTCAATAATAACAACTAAAATTGAAGCAAGTTATTTCTAATTATTTACTGTGACATTGTCACAATGCTGGGCTGCAATTTTTCATCACAGTGTTCTCAACTTTTTTAGTAGTGTCTTACCCCAGCCATCTATCTAACTCTGTTCAGGAGAAAATTTTTGAATTGAAATAATGTGACTTCAGGCACAAACCAGAAGTTCACATATAGTTAATCGGAGCCTCTCATCTAACTCCATTCTCGAGATTAAGGATGGGCAGACAGACAAACAAACAAACAAACAGATGGATGACAGTGATAATAGATCCACAACTTTTTCAAATTGCAACACAACAAATCAAAATTGGCCTGTTAATAGAAATGTACTCAACCTTACATTTCACATGTAGAAGTTATTATCAATAATGCTTAATTTTATTTCATTATCTATATATATAAAATTACTTGTCCTGACTGACTGACTGACTGAGTCACTGATTCATCATCGCCCAGAGCAAACCTCTGAACCTAAACAGGTGAAATTTGGTATACAGTTAGTGTACGCCATGGGAATGCACACTAAGAAGGGATTTGTCGAAATTCCCCAGCAAAAAGGAGAGGGAGAGCATTAAAACTAAACTGAAAGAACGGTTTCTACTGTACTATTTTAGATGTGATTTTTTGTTTTTATCTGTGTTTTACTAGGGTATACCATGGGAATGCACACTAAGAAGGGATTTTTCGAAATTCCCCCAGGAAGAAGGGATAGCATTTCATTTCAGACATTGTTATAAATATTTTTATATATTTCAATTTTTTAACCAAATGTTCGAACCGTTTTAAATTCAAATTTCTTTCTGCTTATTGGTTCGATTATAGAATGATTGTACACGTTCCAGAAAATTCATCAAATTGATCAAATTGAAAACAATTCGTTTGATTCTCGGCAATTCTCATCATTCTAAGTGGTAGGTGTTATATAACAATTACTATGGTTGTTGAAATACTGAATATAAATAGGGTTTGCTTGCAAAACCTCTGTGGGTGAATTTGTGGGTAACAGCTAGTATAATATAAAATTATTCCAGTTTACTAGACTTTTTAAAAGTTTTATATTACAAACTTTGAGTTGCATAAATATTACAAACAAATATAATGGATCATGCAAGCAAAAAGTTTGAGAAATGCTGATATAGATATCTATGAAAATACCAGTGTCTGAATGGAAAAATTTTTATTAACTGCTGGAACGAACTGGCACTCTAGTTTTAGCCATATTATTATTAATAAATCATTCATCTGTTGTTTTGTCAAAATAAAAATGTCCTTTGCATTCTTGATAGTGAAAACAAAATAAATTTTTCCATTCTTTTCTTCATTCATACTACAACCCCAACATAATTTTCTGATCGCCTTAAATATAACAAAGCACGACAGCTATAAACAACAAAATTGAAAAGAAATATGTCAAGAATAAAATTTATTTTTAAGATAAATTAAGTACAAACATTAAACAAATCATTTCTATAAGAATTAAGCTATTTGTATAAGAATTAAAAATTTAATGGGAAGTTTTTTCCTCACTTTGAAGACAAAATTTTACAATTTGTCATTAAACAGACATAATTTTCCAATCATGTTCAATAAATAATACTTAAAATTTTGTATGATCATGTTTGTTACAAAACATATAATAGTCATTATATGTTTTGGCATTGATTTTATAAGACTTTGGAGTAATCTTTGTCAATTTCTTGCCAACTCACTCTAATTGTTACATTCAATTTCTCCTTATTCTTTGGCACCTTTGAAATGACAAATTTTTTTTAACTTTCACCAACAGTTTTTGATAGGATTTATATTCAGGCTATTGGCAGGCAACTTTAAACACCTGACTTGTTTTTCCTGTAGCAAATCCTTTATTGCTCTTGATCAAAGGCAACTAGCATTGTTGTCTTAAATCACCAGTCATTGGAAACTGATTATCAACTGATGGTATGAGGAAGTGTTCAATTATTTCCATATAAAGATTGCATTAACCCTGTTTTTTGTTATACACAGGTTACCAGTATTTCCCAGAACATGCAACTCCAAACCATCAAACTTGTAGGAAATTTAACAATTTCAGTAGACAGTTTTCATTAAATATTTCCAATGTACCTTTTCAAACAAACTTGTCTCCACAGCCACCAGTTCTTATACAAATTCTTCATTGGTCACTAAATTCTAGCCTTTTCCACTCCTCTATCATCCAGTCATTATGCTCTGTGGTTCATGTAATACAGTTTCTACATTTTACAGCCATTAGCAGAGGCTTAATTTTTGCTCTACAAAACTTCAACTTCATTTCTTGAAGTCAATCTTATACTGTTATGTCAGAAACTTGAATGTTTGTCTTTCTCCACTCATTATTCATTTATTTTGCAGGATTTTTCTGATATGCAAATATTTTACAGATTCTTATCACTTCTCTTAACTGTCTTTCAATGATAACTAGTGTGTGAACAATTTATAACATTTCTATGGTATTGTATTTTTTTCACATATCAAATATTGTGCTCTAAGCACAACTGAACAATTTAGCAACTTCTTGCTGAAATTTTTTCTCTTGTAATTTTGTAATAATTTGTTTTTTGCATCATTACATAACTCATTTTTATGGCTCTTAATTTTAAATATAAAATAATAAATGATAACAAATAATTAAGAAAGTTTACCAGAAATAATCGTATCTGCAGTCATCTAGTCACTTTAATATGCAAATTTGAATAAGTGATTTTTCTAGTGGAAGATACACTGCTTGATTAGAAAATTATGTCTGCCTAATAACATAATCATAAAATTTTTCATCAAGGTAAGGTTTCGACCCCATCCGGGTCTTCATCAGGCTACGTTTATGAGGAATTTGAATGCGTGAGGAATGGAACATTAAAACGAACCAAATGCGATTCAATGCGATTCAAAAACGTTCGCTGGTGTGTAAACACCTATCACTGGAGTTACAAAGGTTTTCTCTGTATGTGGTGAATTGTATTTCCTCTGGTGTTTACGAAGAGGTTCATTTTTTATTTCTTATACAAAAAGCTTAATTCTTATGGAAGTAATTTATTTAATGTTTGCACATAATTACCTTAAAAAATAAATTTTATTCCTAACATATTTCTTTTCAATTTTGTTGTTTATAACTTTTGTGTTATGTCATATTCTAGGTGGTCAGAAAATTATCTCAAGGGATCACGTTAGTACTAGCTGAGGTCCATTTTGAACAGAGAACTTATTTCAAATATATCATGAACATGATAAAAATATTACACCTACCCTAAATTTGGGGGGAAAAAACTTTTGATGAATATATAACTTAAAACACAAAAATTACCTGTAATACGAGATCTTGGAATATTGCCTCTTTTTGATCCCATATAAATAACTTCATCATCTTTTTGTAAAATTCCATCATCTAAAACAATAACTGAATCTGAAATCAAATACATATAAATATAGTTTTAAGCATAATTACATATTTGAAATTTATTTTCAGTTTTTCAATATTTAACTGAATATATAAAAAAAACCCTAAACTATTCTTTGAATATATAAAATACCTTACCATGTTAAAACTATAAAATGTAAAATTCAAGAATTGCCAATACATTCATAATGTCTTTGAAATATATGAAACTTTATTTTAAAAACGAAAATGAAAAATCATTTCTGATGTAATTTATTTATGCAGAACTCAGAAACTTTCATATTCAGGAACACAGATAATTCAGCTTATGTCATGTCTTCAACATTTCATACCCAAAAGCATGCAGTGTTTCTGACTTTTCAAAAGTTTGTATAATTTACATTTTTTCTTACAATTTAAACAAAGACTGTTGACGAGAAGAATATTAAAACCAATTAACATTACAGTACATAAAAATATGTGAAATGTTGATTTAACAAATGTTTGTGATTTATGCAGGAATTAATTATGGAGAATGTGTATAAACAAGAATTTGAACATTATAGAAATACATTGAAATTCTAGGAGATTCAGCCCTTAATCACATAAGTAATTATCAACTTAAACAACTTTAAACAGTATGTAAATACAGGAGCTCCCCTACTTATGAACAGGTTAGGTTTTCAAGTAAGTCAAAATGTTTATAAGTCAAAAACTAACCTAGAAATTACATAAAACATATGTACACAGAATAACCACTTATAGTGTTTGATCCTTCGACATACTTAATACATTGCACTCATTTACCTGCTCACTATTGCTTAGTAATGAATTTTACAAATGCAGTTTTTTCACTTAATGCACTTAGTTTTATAATATCCAGTTTAGTTTCCATTGTAATAGAGCCACACTTCTTGCATTTATCTCCACTGTTAGATTTGATATTGTGTTTTGGAGGCATTTTTGAAGTGCCTCCAAAGCATAAAAGTTTATAAAAATTGCAAATAATAGTAAAAATCACTCAAATGATACTGACTTCAAAACCACCTCTCAAGTGGAAAATGGAACCTCAGAATTTGCACAAAAACAAAAAAATTATAATATGCAAAAGAAATAAACTCACATTAATTATTTAAGAAAAATGTATAATATGTGGGAGGACCCAAAAATGACCGGATTTTCTGTATAAAAACTTTATTTATTAACTTCTTTACAAAATTTCTTCAGTCACCTTCAAAGTACTCTCCATTAGATGCGATGCACTTGTGAAGCCTTTTTCCCCACTGTTTGAAGCATCTCTGGAACTCTTCAACCTTGATATCATCCAGTGCCCTTAGTAAAGCTGTTTTTACTGCCTCCACATCATTAAAATGCTTCCCTTTTAGATTTTTCTTCATTCTCAGAAACAGAAAAAAGGTTGGGGCTAGGTCTGGTGAATACAGAGGGGGGGAACGACAGGCCACCCCCCGAAAGGTCAAATAGTGAGTCACTCGTAAGGCTGTGTGTGCGGAGGCGTTGTCGTGATGAAGGAACCAGTCACCTGATTGCCAAAGTTCCAAACGTTTCCTTCACACATCCTCTCACAGACGTCTTAACACTTTTTTGGTGGATTTTTTCAACGTTTTCACCATTTCGAGATGTTGAAGGACTCCCAGAACTTCGCAGGTAAAACAAAATAACAGTAAGAGAAACACAACACTACACTCAAACATAAACCTACAAACTGACACCATTTGCACAGCTGTTTCATGAAGGTCTATACTAACCCCATGTAACGGGAGAACTCTCTACTACGTCTATGAATGGCAGCATGCTCTCAGTTTGGTTTTTTTTGGGTCCCCCCTCGTATATTACTGACCGAAGACTGACTTCAACACAACCCCCCATGAGTGACAAAAGAACTTCAGAATCCACACAAAATTTAAATTTTAGATGTACAATATTATTGTTCATAAGTTGAATGTTTGTAAGTAGGAGAGTGCATATATATTAAAGTTAAATGAAATTTGTAACAAAAACTTATAAGTACTGTACCTTATGAAAAATTTCTTTTAAAAAAAATCAACTGAAAGTTACTTGTATAGTAGAAATGTAAATAATATATAAATGTCCCCATGCAAATATTTTTTCATTGCTAGACTAAAGATTAATTTTATTTTCGAATGTTTGTATAATCAATTCTGTTCATTTCCGTTGTCTTAACTGAGGAAGACCCATTTATTCTTAGTTCAAAACATTTTTGAAAGTACAGTATTAAACACTTGATAGATTCATTGTCTTTTTATTTATTGCTTATAGTTTTTGCAAGTTTTTTGTATCACTTTTTAAATTGTAAAAACTATTTTAGTAGTGTTTTGATTGTCCTGTATTGTAAAAAATATCACTATTTTTTGTTTGGAAACTGAAAGAGACACCATTTCTTTCAGTTTCCAATTTTAAAGTACCTATAGCTATGTCTTCGATAGGCAATATTTTTTTTTGAAACATTTCCAATTTCCATAGCAATGGTGTTTGTTCCCAAATGACTTCCTGAAGATGAAGTGCTAAGTTCAAAAGTACTTGAAATGGCTTTCTATGTATTTTCAAAAATTTTTAATACCATTAGGCAATTTTTTCCATTTTTCCTGCATTCCAGCATTTTTTCTGTTTTTATATTGTGGAGTTTTTGAGTCATTTGTATTTCAAAATTTTATGAAGTTTAGGAGATTTGGCCCGAGTATAGTTTTTATCATTTCACTTGTTTTATAATTATACTTATAATAAACTGTTAATGGAAGTAAAACACGAACCAATATTTTAATTTTTGAAATGGTATCTTCTAAACTGGATACCAGTAAGTGTTATGCTTTGAGAGACTTTTAAAAGTGCAAATTATGCAAAGGTTTTATTTCCATTCAAATAATTTTCTGCTGAGTGTGCTACTACAGATTATCCACAAAAATTCTTGTTAAAGAGATTGTTAATTACATTATTAACACTTATTCTGCTATAAATGTAATATGTTTTGCGAATTATTTGGTAAAAACAACAAATATAATATTATGTTCCTCTATTATTTTTAGCTTTAAAATGCAACATTATGTTTTCAGCAATCAAAAAACAAATTTTGTGTGTTTTTTAGTGTGTTAACTAACAGTGGGACTATTTTTTCAGAAATTTGAAATATAAGCTATATTTAAAATCACGTGCATCATTTGATTCGGAGTTCTGTCACTATATTTTGCAAGCAAATTTCGAGTTGTTTTATTTTGTATATGCAAGTTAAGGTCAGATATGGTGCATAAATGTACTGAACAGGAATTGTTTATATTTATTAATGAAGAAATGAACAAATATAGTGATAATTACATTGATTTATCTGAGAAAAGTGTAGCAATTATGTTTTAGGCCTAACTGAAATCAAAAACTACAAATAAGCCACATAATTATGTTATTATTTCTAAACCTATATAGTTTATATAATATTACATAATTTATATACTTTTTAGATATTCTCAATGCAAAAGTCAGATTTCTATATTTCTGACAGTGCTAATGCCATCACATCTACATTTGCTAAACCAATGCAATAACGAGAAACAGCCAGAGNTTTTATTTAGAGTCACCAGTTTTATATTTTTTAATAGTTAAATTTCAATAATAACAACTAAAATTGAAGCAAGTTATTTCTAATTATTTACTGTGACATTGTCACAATGCTGGGCTGCAATTTTTCATCACAGTGTTCTCAACTTTTTTAGTAGTGTCTTACCCCAGCCATCTATCTAACTCGGTTCAGGAAAAAATTTTTGAATTGAAATAATGTGACTTCAGGCACAAACCAGAAGTTCACATATAGTTAATCGGAGCCTCTCATCTATCTAACTCCATTCTCGAGATTAAGGATGGGCAGACAGACAAACAAACAGATGGATGACAGTGATAATAGATCTACAACTTTTTCAAATTGCAACACAACAAATCAAAATTGGCCTGAACCACTGTTAATAGAAATGTACTCAATCTTACATTTCACATGTAAAAGTTATTATCAATAATACTTAATTTTATTTCATTATCTATATATATAAAATTACTTGTCCTGATTGACTGACTGAGTAATTGATTCATCATCGCCCAGAGCAAACCTCTGAACCTAAACCGGTGAAATTTGGTATACAGTTAGTGTACGTCATGGAAACGCACATTAAGAAAAGATTTTCCAAAATTCCCCATCGAAGGAAAAGAAGAGCATTAAGGCTAAAATGGAAAAACGGTTTCTACTGTAATATTTTAGTAGAGCTGTGGAGTCGCGTAAAAATCTACCGACTCCAACTCCGACTTTTCCTTATCATCTGACTCCAACTCCGGCTAAAACACCAAAACTCCACGACTCTGACTCCAACTCCGACTCAACAGCCCTGCCAGGGCTGTGGAGTTGCATAAAAATCTACCGACTCCAACTCTGACTTTTCCTTACCATCCGACTCCGACATCAAAACTCCACGACTCCAACTCCACAGCCCTGTATTTTAGATGCGATTTTTTGTTTTTAACTGCGTTTTAGTAGGGTACGCCATGGGAATGCACACTAAGAAAAGACTTGTCGAAATTCCCCAGCAGAAAGGAGAGGGAGAGCATTAAGGCTAAACTGAAAGAATGTTTCTATTGTACTATTTTAGATGCAATTTTTTGTTTTTATCTGTGTTTTAGTAGGGTATACCATGGGAATGCACACTAACAAGGAGAGCCTACGGCTTTGGGGTAACGGATTTTGATGATCTTTGGTGTAGAGGTAGTACACAATGTTAGTGTACTATCTGTAAAATACTAAAGTGCAATACTCAAATATAATCGAGAAAATCGAACTTAAAGTTTTGTTAGCACTTTATATATAAATTATACGTACTTCTACTCGAGCGTCCTGTGGCAGAGTGGTAACGAGTCTGATTTATAAGCTTGAGTTCTCGGGTTCGATTCTCGCGTATAATTTTTTTTTTAATTCATAAATACTTATAATGTATTTATTTATTTACTCAATCATTTATTTCTTATTATTTATTTATTTTAATTTAATTTCTACTATTCCAAGTCTAATATTTTTATACTTTTGTTGACAATAACGGCGCATTCTTGACACCTATGTGTCAACTTTCCCATCTAATTGTTATCACTAACGGTGACCGATCTAATTCTCACTAGGAGCGTTTTTTCTATCGGAGTTCTTTTTCACTCACTCTTTAACAGTTCGTTTCTAAATTTCGACACGAATAGACGTATTTGTGTAGTAAAACTTATTTTGAAAAATTATTTTATAATCAAAAAATGTCGTCAAGAGAAGCAAGTTCTTCACGTTGTGACGAAAAAACTGTTGATGATAACTCTTTATACAGTGATGTAAAATACTAACTTGTAAAGTGCAAAACTCAAATATAACCAAGAAAAACGAATATAATTTATTGAAGCAATATTATATAATTACATATCATTGTCAGATGTACATGATCGTGAATGATACTTATGATAAAAACATTCAAAACAAAAATTCTGTCTACACCAAGAACAACAAATAAATGCTGCTTTTTTAAAAGGTATCATCAACAGTTTTTTCGTCACAACGTGAAGAACTTGCTTCTCTTGACGACATTTTTCGATTATAAAATAATTTTTCAAAATAAGTTTTACTACACAAATACGTCTATTCGTGTCGAAATTTAGAAACGAACTGTTAAAGAGTGAGTGAAAAAGAACTCCGATAGAAAAAACGCTCCTAGTGAGAATTAGATCGGTCACCGTTAGTGATAACAATTAGATGGGAAAGTTGACACATAGGTGTCAAGAATGCGCCGTTATTGTCAACAAAAGTATAAAAATATTAGACTTGGAATAGTAGAAATTAAATTAAAATAAATAAATAATAAGAAATAAATGAATGAGTAAATAAATAAATACATTATAAGTATTTATGAATTAAAAAAAAAATACGCGAGAATCGAACCCGAGAACTCAAGCTTATAAATCAGACTCGTTACCACTCTGCCACAGGACGCTCGAGTAGAAGTACGTATAATTTATATATAAAGTGCTAAAAAAACTTTAAGTTCGATTTTCTCGATTATATTTGAGTACTGCACTTTAGTATTTTACAGATAGTACACTAACATTGTGTACTACCTCTACACCAAAGATCATCAAAATCCGTTACCCCAAAGCTGTAGGCTCTCCTTGTAAGAAGAGATTTTTCAAAATTCCCCCGGGAAAAGGGGAGAGCATTTCATTTCAGACATTGTTATAAATATTTTTATATATTTCGATTTTTAACCAAATGTTCGAACCGTTTTAAATTCGAATTTCTTTCTGCTTATTGGTTCGATTATAGAATGATTGTATACGTTCCAGAAAATTCATCAAATTGAAAACAGTTCATTTGATTCTCGGCAATTCTCATCATTCTAAGTGGTAGATGTTATATAACAATTACTACGGTTGTTGAAATACTGAATATAAATAGGGTTTGCTTGCAAAACCTCCGTGAGCAAAGTTGTGGGTAACAGCTAGTATAATATAAAATTACTCCAGTTTACTAGACTTTTTAAAAGTTTTATATTACAAACATTGAGTTGCATAAATATTACAAACAAATATAATGGATCATGCAAGCAAAAAGTTTGAGAAATGCTGATATAGACATNAAAAAAATGAATATATTTAATGTACTTACTTTCAGATAATTTATCTGATACTTTTTTTGGTAAGCAGTTTTCTGACTGTTTGGAATCAGCAATAGATGAATCTTGAATAATTAATTCACTATTTGGTTCATCATCATCTACAGGATGCATCTCCATGGTATAATAATCCTTATAAAATAAACAAACATTTTAAAAATAATTATCTTAAACTTAAACATTTTCTTAAATTTTGTAAAATATTAAAATTTTGACAATCAATAAACTAACATTACAACAAATACTTTATCATACAGAGTGGTTGTGATTTACACCTAGGTAACATTTGTATAATATATGCTTAAACAAAAATTATTACATGTTATGATCAATTATCTCATACATATAATGTACATTAAAATTTGTTTCTAAAGTGCACAAATATTCAATAAAACAATAATTTTATTTAATATGTTGAAAATTGAAAAGACAGTAGGACCTCACAAGTCCAAACTTCCAATTATTCTGAACAACCAAAGAAACACAAAGTGCTTTCTCCAAACAAAATACATAGCTATTGCACTTACCTTATAGTACAATATGTACATAACATCAAAATAAATTTTAAATTACTTATCAATTTAAAAAAACAAAGACTAGTCTCCTATCCCCTCATTCATACATAGTCATATACTTACAGAAAGAAGTTAAAAAATTAAATTGACAATGCACAGTAAAAAAAACTAAAAATTGCTTGTAACTCATTAAAATTTTATTTGACTTTTGGTTTCTTAAATTAGCAATTAATTTTATCATGCATAAACAAATAGCATATTATTTTAATTTATATATAGACTCAATTCTATTTTTATATAACATGTATTTCTGAAAAATCGGTGTAAAAGAAAACCCTAGTAAAAAATTATATTGTCCACACAGAAAAATCAAAAATTTGTCTCAGAACTTAAAAACCAGTAAAAATACAACACAGTCGACCCTCTATAACACTGTTGATTATTCCGTTTTATATGAATTCCATGTTGTACGAGTCACTTAGATTTTACAAATACGTGTGCCAGGCTGTGAACGTCTCAAGTATCTCTAAAATCTAAGTGACTCGTACAACATGGAAATCATATAAAACGGAATAATCAACAGTGTTATAGGGGAGTCACTGTAAACCAATTAATATAATGAAATGTGTTTAAATGAAATATTTCAATGTTAGTTAAATCATAAAAGGAGCAATTGTAACATACCAGCAAATTTTAATACAAGTAAACTTGTATTATTCACAGACTTTTTTTTTTACTTTTTTGATTAAACACTAAAATATCTCTATCTTTTTGCATCAAATAGTATACAAAAAATATTCAATATTGAGAGAAATTGAAAGAAGCACAATTATATAACAAATTGTCAAATTTCAAATTGAATTTTTGTCAGGGTTCAAATATTTTTGTCGCTAGGTGGTGGTGCATGAGCTATATAACCCCTTTGTTCATATAAAGATGCCCTCTTCTTTTTTGTACATTAACCATGTGTACTGGTATGTGTGCACTCTCTCCCCTTTGTTACACTTGATCTAGTGACCATGTGCCATGTATTGTAGTAAAGTGCTATGTAGACATTAGCGTAGATATATTTTGTAAGTTAATAAACAACAGATTATGGGCCCAGGCTACATTCATGCTGTGAAGTAAATATTTGTAGGTCTTCTTCTTGTGAAAGAAATTGTGTCGGTTAACACAATCATCAAGAAGAAAAAAAAACATGACATCTATAAGAACAGATTCTCTGAATGAAGAGAATTTCAACACGTAAAAGATCCAAGTCAAAGCTTTGCTAATAATGATCTTTAGGGCTACATAAACAGATTGAGACAAAGATCAATGGGAGGACGTGAAATAGCAGCACGGGAGACTAACGACCAGAAAGCTAAGTCTGAACTAATTTTATCAATAAATCCATCTCAATTAAAACAAACTAAAGATTGTAGAATGTTGAGAAAAGTCTGGGAAAAACTCCATGACATATTTCAGTCAAAAGCTTCTGCTTAAAAGTCTAATTCACAAAGCAGTTAACTTTAAGTAAAATGAAAAGTGGAGATGATACCTGTGAACATCTAAATAGGTTCTTTGACCTTGTAGACAAACTACACAGCCTCGACGTGGACATTAATAATGACCTATTAACAGTTATGCCGTTGTACAGCCTACTGGAAGAATTTGAAAATTTCCAATGTGCAATTGAATCGCAAAACAAAACTACTGAAACCAGAATCAATTACAAATAAAAATAATCAAAAAGAGCCATTCTACACATGGAAAAGAATCTACGGATTATAATAATGATCTGATTTCAAAAAACAGTTACAAGAATAGAAAACCTAGAAATAACCCTAACAACATAAATAAGTTTAAGTTTCAAGGGAAAGGCTTTAAATGTAAAAGATATGGCCATAGAGTATCAGAATACGACTTAGACACAAAAGCAAATAAAACCAACTTAGGATTTCATTCAGTTCTATCAAGTGCCGAGAACAAAGGGCTGTACCATGAGGGGTGGTGCTTACATAGTGGCAGAACCTCACATGATAGCTTTGACAATATGGAGTCCATTAGAAATAGGAAAATGTTCCTAACAGATAAATCACAAACTGATGTGGTAGCAACAGGAAAAATAAAATTAAAAATAAATGATAGCAGGAACAGCAAAATAGTCACAATAAATGTGTTCCTATATGCATCTAATCTTAGTACGAATCTGATGTCAGTAGCAAAGATCATAGACAAAGACTTCAAAGTTATTTTCCTCAAAGATAGAGCCAAAGTGGTAGACAATGCAGGAAAAACCATAGTAATCGCTGACAGAAAAAACAAATTATACTATGTTAGAGAATAAAAGTCAGCCCAGTCAATAAAGCAAATGCATGTGAAGTAACTGAGATGGAGCTATGGCACAGGAGATTCAGCCATCTTAATGAAATTGACCTAAAGAAATTAATTAAAAGCGATGCAGTCCTAGGATTAAAATATAAGCTTGGAAACTTGCCATTCTGTAGTACCTGTCTGGAAGGAAAAATGGTACAAACTCCCTTTCTAACCTCCAACAGAAAATCAGAGCAATTCAAACATTTGTGGTCCTATGAGATCAAGCTCATTAGGAAAGAAAATTACTTTATTATGTTCATCTATACTATTATTATAAAGAGGTAATGTTTGTAGGTATGTATGTATGTATGTAAGTTTGTTTGCAGCAGGTAATCTCCGAAACTACTCATCCGATTTCAAAAATTCTTTCACCAATATTTAGAATGGAACCTCAGGCTGGACATAGGCTGTATATTATTCCGATAAACATTCATATAAATTAAAAGATATAATCTAAGTTAAGGCTTTTATTTCCAACAGATGGCGCTACGAGTATGACGCCCTAAGTTTGCTTTTCTGTCAAACATTATACTTTTCTGTGAAAATGTACTATAGCAAATCATCTTCTATCTATCTATATAAATAAAAATGTAATGTTCGTTTGTTCCTACCGATTCCTTTGAAATTTTGACACAATGCTGCATTCGAATGCATACGTGTTTTTATATCATATACGTGTCAAAATTTCCCGCACTGGGGGGAGATGGACAGGATTAAGGCTTACAGTAAAGAACTCTGCTTCTATTTATACTATTTCAGATGCGGTTTTTTGCGTTTTTGATTGCGTTTTAATAGGGTACGTCAACAGAATGTATACTAAGAAGAAATTTTTTGAAAAATTTCCCCCCCAAGGGAAGTGTTATACATTTATAATAGATACATTTTGAGCCACAACAACGCATGGCGGGGTCTGCTAGTAATTGATAAATTGAGAAGGACAGAAATGAGATTTCTAAAAGCAAAGAGTGAAGCCTTGGAAGTGTTCAAAAATTATAAAAACATTGTAGAGAATCAAACTGGTTGTAGAATAAGGAAATTCCAATCTGATAATGGTAGTAAGTTTTTCTCTCGTGAATTCAACTTCCTCCTGAAAAAAGGAATCAAAAGGAAATTGAGAGTACCCCATATGCCTCAGCAAAATGGTATTGTAGAAAGAATCAATCACACCTTCTCAATATGATGAGGTATATGCTAATTGACTCAAAATTGTCAGAAAAATTTTGGGCTGAAGCTGTATCTATGGCATGTCATATCAGAAATAGATACCCTTCAAATGCGATAAATGCAGATACCCTTACACAGTGTGGTCAGGAAAATGACCAACTGTTTCATATTTTATACCGTTTGGATGCAGAATATACAATATGAATGAAATGCTGAACAAAAGTAAATGTGAACCCAGATCACAACTCTATGTACTAGTTGGTTATTCAATAGAGAATAAAGCTTATAGGAAACAATATGCAGAATATCTTTTCAAAAAAGAAAATCTTCATTCTAAGAGGCTCAACAAAATAGATGAAAGAGACTATTCAATTTTAAGAGAGAAAGTTGAAAAAACACTAAACTCTCAAAAAAAAAAAAAAAAACTCCAGGCATGAATGGTATTACTTCAGAACTTTTTAAAAAAGAAGGAACATCTGTCATACATGAAATGCTAGACATCTGCCAAGATGTTTAGGATTCTAAGTCATGGCCAACTGATTGGACTACATCCATCATAATTCCAAAACCAAAGAAAGGGAATAGCAAAGAGTGCAGTAACTATAGAACTATTAGCCTTATTAGTCATACAAGCAAAGTTTTACTAAAAATACTATTGTCTAGAATTGAAAGCAAGGTTAAATCTATATTTTCCAAAGAACAGGCTTGGTTCCAAAAGAATAAAGTACAGTAGATCACCTATTTACACTGCATATTATTTGATTTGATGTGGCATGATGCTCTGTGGAAAATCTTATGTCATTATGGAACTGATAATAAAATAATAAGATTAATAAAAGCCCTATATACTTTATATGAGATGCTGAAAGATCAAAGGCAGTGGATCAGATTTAAGACGGAAAAATGTGTCCAACAAGTTGTATACTGTCATCAATCTTACTATTTAATCTTTTTCTGGAATACATCATGTGTCAAGCACTTGAAGATTGCTCTTATGGTGTTTCAATTGGAGGGAAAAATTAAGAACTTACATTTTGCTGATGATATTGATTTAATAGCAGAAAGTGAGATACAATTACAAAAATCACAGACATAGTAGTACAAGTATTCAGAGAGCATGGACTTAGGATAAGTGTTAAAAAATCAAAAACAATGACAACTGGCTTGAGCAATCTGAATGTATTGACTGATAAAGAAACCTTGGAAAACATCAAAAAATTTACTTATCTTGGAAGTATACTACATAAAGAGGGGAGATCAAGATCACATGTTATAGCAAATATTGCTAAAGCAAGTACCACACAACAAAAGCTGAAACCACTATGGACTGATCATAAAATATCTATATCTACCAAGATACATATAATCAATGCCCTTGTTAACTTAGTACTTCTCTATGGAAGTGACAGATGGATCTTTTTAAGGACAACAAAACCAGATTACTTGCCTTTGAAATGAAGTGTTATAGGGTGCTATTGAAAGTACCCTACATAACAAGTGAAAATATAAAAATAAAAATTTTAACTGCCATGTGAAATCTACCAAATATTTTAACCAAAATTAAACAGAAACATATGAGATGTTTTGGCCATGTTGTCAGAGGAAATGCACTAAGAAAAAAAGCTTTGGAAGGAGTGACATCAGGGATAAGGACAAGAGGCAGGCCAAGAAACAAATGGACTGATAATGTTAGGAAATGGACTGAATTGTCAATTGCCCAACTACGAGATGTTGGGATAGAGAGACCTGAAAAGAGTACACCAAAACAGTTTCCTACAGGTGCTCCAATAGTCTTTATAAGACTATGGGAGGAGAAGAAGGAGTTTTGAAAAGAACATAATACCGTATAAAAAGTAAAAAAAAATTGTAAAGTGTATGGGAAGATGCTCCTAAACTCAAATGTGGTTTAAAATCTTCCATTTGGGAAATTTTAAAGTAAAGTATACAATTTTTACAAAAAAGATATATTTCTTGACATACAGGTGGCACTGAAAGGCTTGGGAATTAAACCAATTTTAAGTAATTAAATGAATTCAAGATGTCAGGTTGACTTATAGATATACAGTCACATATCAATGAACAATATAAATTTATACTTGTGTACCAAGATCACCTGACTAAATTCATTCAAATACAACCATTAGAAACCAAAAGGGCTGAAGATATAGCCTATGTTCTTTTAGACATTTTTACAATTTTCAGTGCACCGAGTATTCTAAAAAGNCAGAAATAGATACCCTTCAAATGCGATAAATGCAGATACCCTTACACAGTGTGGTCAGGAAAATGACCAACTGTTTCATATTTTATACCGTTTGGATGCAGAATATACAATATGAATGAAATGCTGAACAAAAGTAAATGTGAACCCAGATCACAACTCTGTGTACTAGTTGGTTATTCAATAGAGAATAAAGCTTATAGGAAACAATATGCAGAAAATCTTTTCATAAAAGAAAATCTTCATTCTCGAGGTTCAACAAAATAGATGAAAGAGAGTATTCAATTTTAAGAGAGAAAGTTGAAAAAATACTAAACTCTCAAAAAAAACTCCAGGCATGAATAGTATTACTTCAGAACTTTTTAAAAAAGAAGGAACATCTGTCATACATGAAATGCTAGACATCTGCCAAGATGTTTAGGATTCTGAGTCATGGCCAACTGATTGGACAACATCCATCATAATTCCAAAACCAAAGAAAGGGAATAGCAAAAAGTGCAGTAACTATAGAACTATTAGCCTTATTAGTCATACAAGCAAAGTTTTACTAAAAATACTATTGTCTAGAATTGAAAGCAAGGTTAAATCTATATTTTCAAAAAACAGGCTTGGTTCCAAAAGAATAAAGTACAGTAGATCACCTATTTACACTGCATATTATTTGATTTGATGTGGCATGATGCTCTGTGGAAAATCTTATGTCATTATGGAACTGATAATAAAATAATAAGATTAATAAAAGCCCTATATACTTTATATGAGATGCTGAAAGATCAAAGGCAGTGGATCAGATTTAAGATGGAAAAATGTGTCCAACAAGTTGTATACTGTCATCAATCTTACTATTTAATCTTTTTCTGGAATACATCATGTGTCAAGCACTTGAAGATTGCTCTTATGGTGTTTCAATTAGAGGGAAAAATTAAGAACTTACATTTTGCTGATGATATTGACTTAATAGCAGAAAGTGATATACAATTACAAAAATCACAGACATAGTAGTACAAGTATTCAGAGAGCATGGACTTAGGATAAGTGTTAAAAAAATCAAAAACAATGACAACTGGCTTGAGCAATCTGAATGTATTGATTGATGAAGAAACCTTGAAAAACATCAAAAAATTTACTTATCTTGGAAGTATACTACATAAAGAGGGGAGATCAAGATCACATGTTAGAGCAAATATTGCTAAAGCAAGTACCACACAACAAAAGCTGAAACCACTATGGACTGATCATCAAATATCTATATCTACCAAGATACATATAATCAATGCCCTTGTTAACTTAGTACTTCTCTATGGAAGTGACAGATGGATCTTTTTAAGGACAACAAAACCAGATTACTTGCCTTTGAAATGAAGTGTTATAGGGTGCTATTGAAAGTACCCTACATAACAAGTGAAAATATAAAAATAAAAATTTTAACTGCCATGTGAAATCTACCAAATATTTTAACCAAAATTAAACAGAAACATATGAGATGTTTTGGCCATGTTGTCAGAGGAAATGCACTAAGAAAAAAAGCTTTGGAAGGAGTGACATCAGGGATAAGGACAAGAGGCAGGCCAAGAAACAAATGGACTGATAATGTTAGGAAATGGACTGAATTGTCAATTGCCCAACTACGAGATGTTGGGATAGAGAGACCTGAAAAGAGTACACCAAAACAGTTTCCTACAGGTGCTCCAATAGTCTTTATAAGACTATGGGAGGAGAAGAAGGAGTTTTGAAAAGAACATAATACCGTATAAAAAGTAAAAAAAAATTGTAAAGTGTATGGGAAGATGCTCCTAAACTCAAATGTGGTTTAAAATCTTCCATTTGGGAAATTTTAAAGTAAAGTATACAATTTTTACAAAAAAGATATATTTCTTGACATACAGGTGGCACTGAAAGGCTTGGGAATTAAACCAATTTTAAGTAATTAAATGAATTCAAGATGTCAGGTTGACTTATAGATATACAGTCACATATCAATGAACAATATAAATTTATACTTGTGTACCAAGATCACCTGACTAAATTCATTCAAATACAACCATTAGAAACCAAAAGGGCTGAAGATATAGCCTATGTTCTTTTAGACATTTTTACAATTTTCAGTGCACCGAGTATTCTAAAAAGCGATAAAGGCAGAAAATTTGTCAATAATATCATCAAAAAACTGTGTAGTGTATGGCCTGAGTTAAAATTGATGCATGGAAATCCCAAGCATTCAAAGTCAGGGTTCAGTAGAGAGTAGAAAGATGTAATCAAAACACAGAAAATATGCTTAGTTCTTGGTTGGAGACAAACAACACTAACAAATAGTCAGAAGGATTACATTTTGTACAACTGATGAAAAATTGAGTGCATCATACTGGTATAAACTGCAGCTCCAATGAGGCCATGTTTGGAGCAAAGTTAAAAGTTACACTAAATAATTTTATACCTGATGAATCATTGACCAACATTAATACAGAGTAAGATTTAGAGACTCTCTTTAAAACTAACAATAATGAATTTTTTATATAACAAAAATGACATCCCAGAAGTTTCCTTTAAGTTAATATTTTGATTGAAGTATAAATTTTCGTTAACATTAGTTTAATAAATACTGTTAATAATACTTACTTTTAAAAGATCTCATGTCGATTTTAAAATATTTTGAAATAATTCACAAAAAATAAATAGCCTAATTCTTAATAAAAAAAGTGGAGATTTTTTAAAAATCAAATTGCCCAAAGGGAATGTAACTATATTCATAATGTCCTGTCAATTTAATAAATTAGTCAATATTTATCAGGCTGCCTGGCCATTTTAGTCATTATTCATAATGGCTGGGTATTATAAATACTGTAATGTCCTATTAATCACTTAGTCCATAACATATACATACAATTATAATATGATAAATAGGTACAGAACTTCATTGGAAAGTAGAGATACGAAACAGATATTGCCTGTTTATACTGTTTTTAAAGCCATCATTACTCAAATGATTTTTTTTTCTAAGCAATCACTGCATGAAATTAAAAATTTTAGGAAAGAGTACAGTAACTTTCATATTCAAACACAAAATTGTTTACAGTTGAAATCTGTCAGCCAATCAAAAGCATTATTTCAATTTCTGTACATTAAATGGATAGAAATCTAAGCAAATCAGTTAGAAATCATCTAATTGTGATACTGGAATCAAACTTAACAAATTTCATTTGTAATCTAAATTTTGACATTTTCAATTTTAAAATTTGTTAGCATTAGACCAATAAATTAACTTCATAAATTTTTATATTAATTCCCAATATCACTAATAATGAACATTACACTGACCTTCCATTGAAACTACAGTATCCCTGTGCATACAGTTTCTAAGAAAAACACTATTTCTCATCAATGTGATCATTATAAGTGAGTAAAAATTGCTCCATGAGACTGATATTTTATAAAATATTGTGCAGGAATATCTTATGCAGAAATTTTTAACATGTGTCTTATGGGAGAAATGACAGCACTGCAGAATTTGAAGACTCAGGTAGGAAATCATCTCATAAAGGAACATCTTAACAGCATTTTACTTCATATTATATATTCATTCAAAATCTCCAGTATCTCTATGAAAAATCATAACTTACTTGTCATCACAAAGAATATAGGCCATAGCTAACAAGGGGACTGCATGATGTTGGGTTCACCAATTTTGATCAAACTCAGTGAAGATATAGTGCAACCCCAAAGATGTGCACTACTCAAAAATAGAGTTGAAAATTGCACAATCACTTAAAACCTTTAGAATTTCTATTGTTTATAAAGTGGCCAGTGGTTCTATGAAGGTGTGCCAGTTTGGTAATCAGGAAGTTAGGGTTTCAAATCTTGCCAGATCAATGTATTATATTTTTTAAACTTTATTCTTAGTATTTTCCCTTCATCATCATTCTCAGATTGCATTCTTACCTTCTTGTAGATGCATTTTGAGAAACTAAAGAGAGAATTTTCTTTTCTCAGGAATTATATTAGCCATAAACTTCAGAAAGAAAATCACTAAATAAATCCAAAATTATACCTGTTAATTTTTTTGCATCAGCAACAGCCACAGGCAAACAGCAACCTCACAATTCAATTATTATAGTCATATTTGCTTTAACAACTTGTTATTCAATTAATTTTCAGAATTTTGTAGATTTTTTTCTTCTCAAATATTTTTAATCTACAAATACATTATTTAAACATGACTTAACTTTGTGAATTGAAATCATCTTAGAAGCAATTTTTAAAATATTGTGAGAGCCCAGACTTGATAAAATTTTGAACAAAATTTTTGTTGAAATTTATTAAAACTTGCTATAATTTTTTCCAGGATTATTAATTATAAAGGATATGATTGTATCTCTCCAGATTCACTTCCTTTCAAAGGTGACATCTTCCTAATGTGTCACATGGAACTTACGATCAAAATTCAACCATTGGTCCCAACTTATAACATTTCCAAATAAGGGCATGAAAAGAAACTGGAAAAATCCCCAATAAAAAAAGGGGATCAATGACAATCGCCATTCGTTATCATCGATAGTTCACCATCACTTGAATCATGTTCTCACCTGATCTTTGGATACCGCTTACGCCATTCTTCACCATAGCCATCAACCTAAGATACCCAGAGACTTTCTCAACTTTACATCAAAGCACCAATTTGAGTCATTGAAAGATCCTGCAGACCAGAAGTTTATCAATCTGCCAATCCTTTAATAAAAGAATCATCCTCCTCGATTTAACTAAGGTATTCATCTACATGCGGACTATTATAAACTCTCTCTCACGGTAAGTGACCCATGATATTAATGATAATAGCTACTTTGTAGAGATCCTTATAAAACTAGCATCTAGCTAAGATCCTTATATAAATCTTTATAACTTATGTAGAGAAATGTAAAATGCTTATGTAAATAAATGGGTATTGTTTAATATTAATTTTCTAGTTGAGTACACTTCTTCCAATGGTCTCTCCATCTTGGATCCAACTGCCTACAAGCACAACCGTTTGTGCATGAACCTAATAACTAATGTCCATCACAATTTCTGTGTCTTTTGAGATACAGTGGTGTCAGTCCTGACATGACATCAAAGAAGTGCTAACCCTGTGGTCACAACATCTATTTACATCAAATTTTTATAATTTTATGTATTAATTTTTAATAAAAAATTTTCAATCAATCTTATCAATATGTTAATATAAATTTGCAAAAACATCCATTGTTATATTTAAAAATAATCATAATTACATTAGTCTAAAAGTTTTTTGTTTGACATTAAATCTCACTGGAATCAATTAAAGCTTTTTGGTAAATGTGTTTGTTGCTGTCATTATATTAATATTAATAAATACTTCAAATATATTCAATATAAAATATAAAATACTTCAAATATATTCAATATAATATTCATAAAATTATTAATTCATTTTTGTCTATAGAAAATAAATTTTCTGATTTTTTGATCTTGAAAAAAAACAAATTTCTGGTTTTTTTAAAGTTTCAAAATTTAAAAAATATGTTTTATACAGATAAGAAAAATGAAGATAAAATATAACATACATAGCTCATAACAACTAAAGAATGCTGCTTAAAGCAAAATATTACTGTGATCAAAAAGTATTGGGAATAGTTCATTTAAACTGTTCACATGCAAGAGAATGCAGTCATTGTTTTTCTCATCATTTGGTACAACTTTCATCAACATCTAGCAGCAATCCTATGTCATCATCTGTTTTCATTTGCAAATAAATTATTTGTNGATAAGCGCTTCTTCACAAAAGGAAATCTTACTAACAAGCATGTATGTTTAGAACATAAGCAAATCCTGGTGGAGGAAAAATCTATATATTCTGTCGTGAGACTTCATGTTCTTGAAGGATTTTCTACTTTCCTTCGATTACGTGAACATTTGGAGAAAGTACTGTACCTGTACAGTACAGTACAGTACCTGACTGTGGTGTATTGTATTTACACCACAGTCAGAATTATGCTTGTTCAGCTTCTTGACGTCACGAAGTAGCGACATCTCGTGGTACAAAAACAGAACTACGGCTACGGAATCGTTCTGTAATTAGACGCCAGTAATATATGAGGGGAACCTTAGAGGATTTTAATGAATCAGCAGACCTCCTCTCGATACCCGCTTCATCTCATAGGTACTTTTGAACATGCTGAAAGGCAGATTCATTGTATTTTGTAGACTCTATTTTAAATATGTTATTTATAAATGGTATATTTAACGTTAATTTTTAATTGTGTTTATTTTGAAATTATCAAACATGAAATAAATACTTTTGTAAATTTCTTGGAAGTTGATTTTTTAAATCTTATGGAGGTAACAGAAATTTCAATCTCAAACAATTGCTACATTGTAACTGGTAACTTATAGAGCGAGATCATTTCGCGTTTACTTAAAAAAAAAAAAAATTTAAGAGATATTGAGGTAATTTTTGTTATGCCGAGTTTCACCACCAGGGTGCGTTATGTAGTTTACATACAGGCAACATGCCATGTGTTTCTCATTCTTGTTCCGGCTGCCACAAGTTGAGGTTAGAGAACAAAGAGGTCCTAAAGTTGAATATTTTTATTCAATTTTAAATACTGTACATTTTTTAAAATCAATATTTTATCAAAATGGCGGACATAAATGGCGAAGGCGATCCTTTAGACGAAGAAATTGAAACAAGAGAGAATGGTGAACATAACGAGGAATTACCAGAAGGTGCCGTTGACGATACGGGCGAAGAACAGAATATCAAAGATNAATCTTTGATAGTTTCTACCAACACACTTATTTGAAATTCTATTACAAAGCTCACAAATGTTTTCAATTATTTTGTTGATCTTGACTATATAAAATTCTGTTTATATAGTCAAGATCTTAGATTCTTATGTATATTTAAAGTGTATAATTTAATTTATAACAACAAAACATCAACATTTTTCTCATTCAAAATTTTTAAGAACCAAATAGTTGCATATGACTATTATCAAAAATATTATCATCTTGTTTTGACAAGCACAATGATATTTCCGTGAAAATTATTTTATTTTAAAGCTTTCCTTTCAATATGGAAAAATTAAAAGAAACTAACAACTAAATTATAGCTCTATCAATATTTAGATTTGTTTTATTGGGGAAAAATCTATTAGAAGGATTAAAAAGCTGGAAGGAACAAAACTAGCGAAGATCTTACCTTTTTTACAAAAATGTCGAAACCCTAGAAAAATCTATTATTTATAATAAAAATGTATAAGACTCCTTGAGAGCAAAATGTGATAGAATTGTTTTACTGAAGCATAACTGTTAGAAAAAATTCAATCTGTTACTTATCTATTATCAAAAAGTAAAATAAGTACTGTACATCAAACCAAACCTTTAAATCCAGTAAATAATTTCAATGTAAATCCGACAAATGTTTTCAATCTTACACAAGATCTGCTTCAGATCAACATGCACAGAACTCATTTCAAATCTTTTTAAATTATTGGAACAAAAACACGCAAATGTATATTCATCAGAAGGAAAAATACATATATTATTCTTAAGGTAATTATACTGTTTAAGTGAGTATGAGTTTTTTAAATATATATTTTTAAAGAAGGTATATTTAATAGACATTAGAAAAGCATAACATTTTTCCGGGCGATCCGTATATAAAGTATCATAAACAAAAATCATAGGACAACTATCAACTGTGGCCCGTACGAGACGCCATTGCTTAATTTAGGCTTGTTTTTGTCGCGGGACGGCACGTTGGCGTACGAAGAGTGTCACATGACGTTCGGTCACGTGACTACTCTCTCGCCTCGTTCCTGATAACTTATTCTTCTCGCAGAAGCATTCGCTGTAGTTTGGAGACATCGTTAATAGAAATTATTAAAACATCATTCCATTTTAAATATGGATTAAAATTAACATATAACAACGTATGATATTTCGATAAATAACTAATAATAATTCTACTCTGCCTTTAAATGGCCTAATCTCTTTCATGTCTTAAGCAAAATTGAGTTATATTTACTGTATTTACATCAAGACAATAGACATCTTATGTTGCATTTGGCTAATATTTATCATCATAATATATAGAATTATTGTCGTTAGAGAGTGGGGTCACTATCGATTCAGTTTATGTTTAACATTAATTCACTTACTTTTTTTTTTGCTGACAATTAAGTTGTCTCTAGGAATGACTCGTTTCCATTTGTTAATTCGGTCTCATTTGGAAACGAAAACACTTGTACTTTCGGTCCGGTCGGATAGTTGCCCCGGTTACACAGCACGTGTACTGCATTTTGCACCACCTTATCACGTTTACAAATCCTAATATATATAAAATGCTTCTGTAACACAGTCAACAAACAAAAAACAACCCAATATTTCAATATAATTACAATTGAAAGCACGTGCACTTAACAGCACATAACCAGAGTCGATTGATATAATGGTCCCTAAGTTGCCAATAGCTATAATGCTACTATTCTGGTTTAATAAATACTGCCACTTCGAGCGCTTCGATCGTATGTAGTCTAAGGTTTGGGTGCAGCGTTGCCAGATTTGGCTACTTTGCTCCAAATTGGGCTACTTATTTTTCAGTTTGGTGTTAAAAAAAAGCATTTGGCGCACTGGCTACTTTTTGGGCTACAAAAATTTGACTTGGCTATATTTTGGGCTGGTTACACAAATTATTTCATCCTTTGTTTTGCGCACAGAACGGTAATATTTGTTGCGCTGTCTACTCGTTTTGTTTTTAAACATAGTATAATTTATATAAGTTTTATAATTTATTTATTATTGGTATTAAAATTACATTATTACAAAATTGTAAAATTACATTATTACAAAATTACAAAATTCTAATTGTAAAATTAGTAACAAATAACGTTACGCTAATTGCAACTGTTTGCCAATGTCAGCTTCTTGTAAATGTCTTATATAGTGTTAAATGTAACATACAAACTTCATATATTACAAGAATGCTATTATTCCTCAACAACAATCAAATGAGCAAAATGTTGAAACAAAAGTAATGAACATGAAGTACTAAAATTTAAAATTATCACGTTGAAAAATCACTGGTAAGATCATCATCATCAGAATCTTTTTCACTAGAATGTTTTTGTATGGTTGAAGCAGATGATGATTTCCAAGTTTAACATTTATCNGAGTCACATATGAAAACTTCATTGCAGTGAACAATGCTAAGGTAGTTTTCTTCATTATATATAAATACCATTAACTCCAAAAACAATGTCTGGGGTAAAAGAAATAGAAAGTTTAAGGCATTTTCACTCATCTTATCCAACTAAATCAGATTGCCCATATTATTCACAGAATGAACAGGATGATATACGAAAAAAATATGAGTATGGTTTGTCTTTAACTATTCCAACAAATTGTTTCTTTAGTTGTAATTTGTGTCTTCCCTTCATTTCATGACTTTTCCTGGTTATTCCAAGCTGAATAGAGTGAAATGCTCTATACATGCAAAAGAACTTAAATTTGCTAATATAGAGAACCTTAAAATTAGTCCATCTACTTCCATCAGGAATACTGTTTTCCAGATATATTAATATTAGATTATCCATATGCTCAAAGGTTTTGTACAAAATGATTATTATTAAAATTCAGATAACATTTTACAAATAAACATTAAAAAGTAATACTTACCAAGAGTGTCAACAATTAAATCTAATTGTGCATTATAAACATTCACTGAGAGATCAGTTCTATTCAGAAGATAATCCACTTAAAAAAAAATGATGAATGATTACTTTATTGTATGCATAACTCATATATATATATATATAATG